AAGAGCCTATGAAAACAAGAGAAGTTGGGCTGGTTTATTAAAGGGCAAGGTCAAGGAGCACAAAAAATTGTGCTCCTGCACCCAGGTGGGGGCGTTCTTCAGTGATAAGCTCTACCCAGGGCAACCTGCGTTTTGTGACTGGAATGGTGCCCAGCACGTGAGTGGTGCTTACTGGGGCCACTCTGGTCTAAATGCTCTTCAGTTATCAACTGGGTTTATCCCCCTCAGTCACTCCCTTAGGTAGCTGGTGTGTAGGGTAGCTGGGATTTGAACCCTGGAGAGCTGACTCCATGGGGCCATGCTCCTAATTACCCTATCACCCTACCCCTAAGATCGTAAGAATACAGTCTACTCACTTCCTCGGGCTGTTGGACCATTCACTGGGAATCTTAAGACAACAGAAGTTTATTCTCTCAGAGTTCTGGAGGCCAGAATCCCAAAATGAAGGGCTATGCTGCCTCCACAGTCTCTAGGGGAGGGTCCCTCCACACCTCTCCAGCTTCTGGTGGCCCCCCGTGCTCCTTGGTTTATGAGTGGATTACTCCAATCTCCATTTCCCCTCTGTACGTCTCTTCTTTGTAAGTCATCATTCACATTGGATGAAGGCCCGCTCTAGCCCAATATGACCTCATCTTAACTCGACGGCATCTGCAAAGCCCCTAGATCCCCAAACCGTCCCATTCCCTGACAACGGAGGTGACGACTTCAATACATCTTTTGGGGATACGATTCAGCACACAACTTACAGTGTCAGACAAGAGGCACCTACAAGTGCTAACTCAGGTTGGCTGTGAGGTTCTGGAGGAAAGCGGCCCCAGCAGATGGCTCCTCTCAGCTCCGCCCGCGCCAGTTCAGGGGAGGGCCCCCACCTGCCCTCTCGCCAGCTCCGTTTACCATGGCGATGCCACAGGGGCCTATCCACCAGCCCTGTGATCCATCCAATGTGGCCCATGAAAGCCCTTTCTGGAACCATGCGTGGCATTCTATGTCCACACAAGTCTCTTGTCTCCAATGGAGGGCAGGAATACTTTCTTGTCACTGAGCTGGGGAACCACACGGCTGGAAGTCCATCAGAATCCAGCCACACTTGGGAATCTCCCCATGAAGGAACTGAGTTAAGATTTGGTGGTTCAACCGGACTCTTGTCCTATCTGCTTCCTTGTCCCCTCAGACCATCCACCTCCCTGCCACCTCCCGGATACACTGACAGACACACCTCTTTTCAACTCAGGGAGAGTAACTTTCCTGGCACACAGGGATGCACATTATTTGGGGCCATATTCTCCCGCTGCTCAAGAGCAAATGAGATCACTGAAGTGTACCCTGGTGTTTATTGGAGACCGTGTTGATAATATTCATGAATATGGAAATAAGCAGCCATCTCCCAGAATCCCTCACGCAAAGAACTGCCTGGCCCTCAGTTTGCGGTGGAAACCGCTTCCCTTGCGAGTTCAAAAACTTCTACCCAGGAGAAAAGGCCAGCTTCTATGATCTTGAAAGGAAAGTTTATCGGCAGAGCTCAAGTAGCAAACTCTTCCACAGGCTAAAGTATTAGGTAGGATTCTAAAATCTCTCAATTGTAAAAGATGAAACGTCTTGATATGGTGTAAGGGTCTGAATCCGAATGACAGCGTTAGTATAGCAGTAAACACAACACAGCATCACAGCCTCTGTTGAATGTACCAGCTGCTGCTCTGATGATTTATGATATCTCCTATTAATTGTAATCCTTAGAACAGCTTCCTGAGTTAGAGAAGTTTATTCGCCTTTCATCGATGAGGAGGGGGCTGAGTTCAGACAGGGTACAGCCCTGCAGGGAGATGGAAACGGCTGGACTAGGAAATACTTTTGTATCAAAAGGCACAACAGTGAGGCAGTAATGGCTAGCTGTCACTTGATGAAAAACAGTTAGCTCTGGTGACCGTAACCATAATTCGGTATTTGAACAAAAGACTCTTAGGAGGGAAAGACAGTGGTTTCTGGGAATTCTCCAAACGCTATCATTAAAATGTTGGTGATAAAACTCACCCAGAATTGCCAATTACCCTCACAGCATTTACATGGCGGCTTCTACACACCAGCAGAAAACACAGGTAGTAAACATACAACTGAGCCAGCCTGCTGATGACAGTTTTCATTTTCTTTTCTTTTTATTCTATGTATTTTGGGTAATTAGGATAATTATAAAATTAGCTAAGAAATTATGAACAATTTGAATAAAAAAGTCTTTGGTTACTATGTAAGCCAAGAAACGAGCTGTGAGCGGTTTTCACTGTACCTCTTGCCTATTTAAAAAATACATATATTGTCCAATCCCTTTTATTCTGTGCCCATTTTAAAAACTGTTAAAAGTCTTGGAAAATTTTTTTTGCCTCGAATTTCTTCATATGTTGCGTCTCTTACTTGCTACTCAACATTTTCTCCCTCCCTGTGCAGATATTCACTTTCTCAGCGAGGATTAACCCAGGACCCATGAGCCAAGGAGAGGAAGAGGAGGAAGGCCACTCCAGCTTTCTGGGAAAAGGCTTCTTCCCTTTTCCGAAAGGGAAGTATTCGCGGGTGAAAGGTCCTTTTTCCCGTGTTAATTAGGGCTGTGAGAGGCTGCGATCCTTGGCCTGTGGCTGTGGCGGCCCCTTTGGAACAGTGAGGTGACAAGTCTGGAGGGGAAAATCACACGGAAGTGGGGCGAGATAGCAGAATGGAAAGATGTCCCCTCAGGACATCCTTAGGGGGTGTGATCAGACCCAGAGCTGTCTCCAAAATCATTATGTGACTTGATGACATTAATTACAACGTAGGTCACTGCCAGTGGCTATTCTGTTTCTTGGTCTGAAAACGCAGTTCACTGAGCCCTGCTCCAATACAAAGTCTGAGGCAATAATGGAATGTTTTCCGAAGGCGTCCTTCCACGAAAGTGTCCTCCCTAAAGAGCACAGGGCAGGGGAAAGGGGTGAGTTGGCTGAGGGATAGATCGGAATTTCGAGACTCAGGCAGAGCCCTGTCTTTAAAACGCACGTCGATTTGCACGCGCCTCTACTCAATCGTCTTAACCAGGGGGCAACCTTCCCGGAGCACCCACATGCTAACGTGCAGAACAGACAGGGCAGGGCCTGGGCCTCCCCTCGCTCGGAGGAGGGGTGCCGGCCCCCTCCCCACCGCTCCCTTGTCAAAAAGCTGGATCCCCGGCCCTGAGCTGCCCAGGTGAGCGCGGGTAAAGGCAGCTTCAGCGGGAATCCTCTGAACTGGATTCAAATCCCCAGCGCCCCCGAGTCTTTACTTCGGAGGACTCTGAATAAGAGGGGCAGGTGCAACAAAACCATGCTCATCTCTCTCTGCGAACCCGTCGTGGAGAACTTCCGCGTGCAGCCCCCGCCGCCCCGCGCCCCCGCCTCCCCAGCCAGAGGCCTCCCTCCAGGCCCGCCATCCCCAGCAACCCCCACCCTGCAACCCGCCATGCCCCTCGCGCACGCCCCCACCCTCGCCAGCACTCCCGCGCGCTCTCGCGGCGCCCTCCTGGCCAGCCCCCTGCGCCGGTAGCGCCCCTCCGACCTTTTCCCCGCGCGCACCCCTCCGCGCCACCCGGAGCCCCTGCCCGAACCCCGCACGCCCCCGCCGTCCCCCCGCTCCGTCTCTAACTACCGCTCCCCGCGCGCCCCCGTCACGTACACGCACTCACGCACGGCGCGGGCCCGAGCACGTAAGCAGTGCGCAGGCGCACATCGGGCCGCGCGCTTTTCGGAGGCCACAGGTCGGCTGGGAGGCGGGGAAGCGCGGGTAGGCCGGGTCCGAGGCCCGGGCAGGGGTCGCGGAGGGCTCGGGGGGCAGGGTCCGCAGGGCCCGGGGGCAGAGGCAGCGCGGGGGACCGGGCGGCCGGGCTGGGGGAAGGCCGGAGCCCCGGAGTATGTCCCGCAGGGGGCGTGGCCGCGGCGCCCGCCGGTTTAGGTGAAGGTCTCCTAGGGGAGGGGCGTCCGGCCGGCGCGGGGGCAGCGGGGTTCCGCACCTTCCGGGCCGGGGACCGGCTGCTCTTGCAGGGGGTGGTCCGCGGCCCGGCCCTCGGGGTGGGGGAGGCTGTGGTGGGGCTGCGGCCAAGGGACCCTGCGCTCCGGCGTCCCCGGCCAGTGCGCCCGCCCCCTTGGAGGGAGTATTGCGAGGGCTGAGGACGCGGAGCATTTGGTCGAGTCTGTTCTAAGTGCTGAGAACCGTTCTGAGTGCTTTGCAGGATTTAAAGCCCGTGTTAGCTAAGTCGCGTTGGCTGCTCATGGTCAAGGTCGTGGCTGGTGGGCAGTGGAGCCAGACTTCAGACCCTGTGCCTTTCTGCTTCTGGGGCGGGCCCAGCGTCCGCAACGCGGTGGGAGCTGCGTGGGGATTTCAGTAGTTTTTATTCCAGTGGATACCCAGAAACCCAACTATTTAGTTGGACAAATATCACATTCTTACAATAAGCAGAAAATGATCAAAATAAAAATAAAAGATTGAAATGCAGCTCATATGTAAGTGTTAATTAGCCATAAGTTTTAATTTTTTTTTAACGTTTATATTTTAGAGAGAGTGTTCGGGCGCACAAGCGGGGCACGGTCAGGGAGAGAGGGAGACCAGGCTCCAGGCTCTGAGCTGTCAGCACAGAAGCCAACCCAGGGCTCGAACTCACCAGCCCTGAGATCATGACCTGAGCTGAAGTCAGAGGCTTACGCGCCTGAGTCACCCAGGCGCCCCTCACCGTAAGTTTTAGGTAGAAGAAATGCCATAACAAAGTGACAGAAATGGTAACCGTGGTCGATGTTTGTGTCATTGATCAGTGCTGGCGAAACAGGTGTTTGGGTATTCATGTTCATATTTGTTGGGTAAATGGTTGAGTTGACGGGAAGGAGACCGGGAAGGTGAATTTCAAAGACAGTGGTGAAGGTGGAAAGGAAAGGAAGGTATCCTGGGAACAGGGAGACTGGAGCTCTGAGCTGTTGGAGGAATCCCAGGATTGCAGATGCTAATAGGGGGATGAAGCCATGGAGAGGAAGAGGGTGTTCCTCCTGAGGAGAAGGTTGGTGATCAGTGTTTTCCAAGTTCCCTCTCAGGTTCTCATTTCCAGTATTGGATCAAAGAGGCTAAGCTAAAATGGTATAGTGGGAAGACGGGTGGCGGCTTGTCAGAAGTCAGTTCTACTTTCGACTCGTTTATTTAGCTTTATTGCTTGAAGCAAATTAGAATCTCACTGGATCTTAAGGCTTTTTATTTTTTTTTTCTGAACAAAGATATATGAACACTTACCTATGATGTGACAGGTTCTTTGTAGGGTATTATGGGAGATACACAGCTGTATTAAACACGGCTTATACAATAAAGGGACCCACAGATTATTATTAAGTTATATTTATGGCAGTTTGGGAGGTAGATTTTTTTTTTTAATGTTTATTCTTGAGCAAGAGACAGAGTGTGAGCAGGGGAGGGGCAGAGAGAGAGAGAGAGAGAAAGGGAGACACACAATCTGAAGCAGTCTCTAGGCTCTGAGCTGTCAGCACAGGGCCTGATGCAGGGCTCAAACCCACGAACCATGACATCATGACCTGAGTCGAAGTCAGACACTCAACCAACAGAGCCACCCAGGCGCCCTGGGAGGTAGACTTTAAAATACAGGAGTTCTTAGTTTTTACAACACTCCTTTATTGCAGTATTCCTCGGAAACTCAGGAGTTTTCTTACAGATCGAGAGGTAAATTCTACACATCTAGCAAAACATGATTACAATCATCTGTAATTCTGGTAAAATAATTTTGACTTAATGTAAGGAGGCTTATAAAAATAACTTGAGAGAAGAAACCTAAAATAAAAGCACTTTACTGGCAGACTGTTTAGACATAGTGTTTGTATGTTAGCAGACTTGTTCTCATAATGACAGTTCCACTTTTTAAAAATTTGTCTTAATGTTTTGATTTATTTTCAGAGAGAGAGAGAGAGAGAGAGAGTGAGCAGGGAAGGGGCACAGGGAGAGGGAGAGAGAGAATCCCGAGAAGGGTCTGTGAGTTAGCACAGAGCCTGACATGGGGCTCAAACTCACAAACGGCGAGATCATGACCTGAGCTGAAACTGAGAGTTGGATGCTTAACGGACTAAGCCATCCAGGCGCCCAGACAGTTTCACTTTTAGCACTTGACGTGAACTTGGAAAATTGTGAGACACAATTGGGCATCCTGTTTTCCGTGCTCATTCTTGAGTAAGTCCCTAAGGACAGTTAGTGTAGGATGGCTGCTGCTGATTATGATCCGTGCTGCTGTGACCTTTGGGGGCAGCAGCTGGCGGGGCCTGTGCGTGGCGCCCACTCCCTGCGTGAGCATGCCCGAGGGTGAATTCCGGCCTGTTGCAGGCTCGCTCTGTGATCTCCGGTGAGGTCTCGACCTTAGCCTCAGCTTCTATATTTGTGTCATAGGCATGAGAATGGTAGTTTTCACCATATTTTCATCTTCATTATTTGACTTGATTCTTATGATTTCTCTCACGAAGCCGAGGGCTCAGTGATAGAGGCTTGGCTCAGATCATCTGCTTTTTCCTAAGGACGGAACTGAAAACCTCTGCCTGGTTTGTCCTGATTTGTTCGTCTGTGGTTCGTTCCATGGCTCTAACGTGTTGCCTTTCCTCTACTGATGAATTTTAAACCGTTTTCCATCAAAACGTCATGAATGTTTTCCCTGTGTGCAGGGAAAATTATATGACTAAAACCATCTCACCCATAACAAAGCATTATTGAGTCAGCTCTTAATCTTGAATGCTTGACATCTCTGATTCACTAGCTATTTCTCTTACAAATGGCCTGTCCTCATAAATGAGAAGTCCAGTATACTTTCCAAGATGAGCAGAGATTTAAAAAGTATGCCTACAGTATTGAGTGCATCCTTGCTTCCTTCTTGGTACTGATTCCGTTTCATTTTTGTCGGTTGTTACAGAACCTCCAGCATGCAGGCCCCCAGCTCCAGGTCTGTGCACCTGAGTGAATGGCAGAAGAATTACTTTGCCATTACATCTGGCATATGTACATCAGAACAGAAGGCGGACGCATACCGGGCACAGATACTACGCATCCAGTACGCGTGGGCAAACGCGGAGATCTCCCAGCTCGGTGCTGCCGTGCTGTTCAAAAAATATGCAGAGAAATACTCTGCAGTTATTGATTCTGACAATGTCGAGACCGGCTTGAATAACTACGCGGAAAGCATTTTAACGTTAGCAAGATCTCAGCAAACTGACAGTGACAGGTGGCAGTCTGGATTGTCAATAAATAATGTTTTCAAAATGAGTAACGTACAGGAGATGATGCAAGCCGGCCAGAAAGCCAGAGAGTCTCTGTTGGCACCTGCCGACATGTCGGTATTAATCCATAAAGAGGCCGCTGTCCTCGATCCTCCTAAGTTTAGTGTTTGTGGTGGTTCTGGGGACAGGGGGCCATTAACTGACTCAGCTCATAATACGAACGGGACCCAAGACATCCCAGAGGGCACTCCTTCGACGTGCCCTCTGAATGCCCGGCCACCTGCACTGACTAACACCAGTAAGACGTGTCCTACGTCCTTAACACCTTCCGGTGAATTTGCTACCGCAAAATTCCATGCCACACCACTGTTCGGAAGTGTTAAAAAGGAAAATAACAGCTCTCCCACAGCCAACATAGGACTGAACAAGTCCTTACCTAATCAGTCTTGTTTGCCCTCTGGCTGTGAAAATCCATGGGCGCAGAAAGCTTTTTATGGTTCTGGCATCATCGATGCACTTTCCACCCCAATAGTGAATAAGGCTTTTAGTAAAACAGAAGATAACGGCCAGAGAGAAGAGAGTAGCCTGCCTGCTTTTAAAACTGCAAAAGAACAATTATGGATAGATCAGCAGAAAAAGAACCCCCAGCCCCAGCGTGTATCAGGGTCATCGTATGGCGGTGTAAAGAAGTCTCTGGGAGCCAGTAGGTCCCGAGGCATATTTGGGAAGTTCGTTCCTCCTGTACCTAAGCAGGACGGGGGAGAGCAGCTTGGGGGAATACAGTGTAAGCCTTCGGGCACAGGCCCGGCAGAACCAGCACACATAGCTGACGAGCGTCTGAAGAACCTGGAGCCAAAGATGATCGAACTTATTATGAATGAGATAATGGATCACGGGCCGCCGGTAAATTGGGACGATATCGCAGGAATAGAATTTGCCAAAGCCACAATAAAGGAGATAGTTGTGTGGCCCATGATGAGACCGGACATCTTTACTGGTTTACGAGGACCCCCTAAAGGAATTCTGCTCTTCGGGCCTCCGGGGACTGGCAAAACTCTGATCGGCAAGTGCATTGCTAGCCAGTCGGGGGCAACGTTCTTTAGTATCTCCGCTTCCTCCTTGACTTCTAAATGGGTGGGAGAGGGGGAGAAAATGGTCCGGGCGTTGTTTGCCGTCGCAAGGTGCCAGCAGCCGGCTGTGATATTTATTGATGAGATCGATTCCCTGTTGTCTCAGCGAGCAGATGGTGAACACGAGTCTTCTAGACGGATAAAAACGGAGTTTCTGGTTCAGCTAGATGGAGCAGCCACCTGTTCCGAAGACCGTATTCTGGTGGTGGGGGCGACCAACCGGCCCCAAGAAATTGACGAGGCCGCCCGGAGAAGGTTGGTGAAAAGGCTTTATATCCCTCTGCCAGAAGCTTCAGCTAGGAGACAGATGGTGACGAAGCTGATGTCCAGGGAGCGGTGTTGCCTGAGCGAGGAGGAGGTCAGCCTGGTGGTCCGGCAGTCCGATGGCTTCTCGGGGGCTGACGTGACACAGCTGTGCAGGGAAGCGTCGCTTGGGCCCATCCGCAGTTTACAAGCTGCTGACATCGCCACCGTGACACCAGATCAAGTCCGACCAATAGCTTATATCGATTTTGAAAATGCTTTCAGAACCGTGCGGCCCAGCGTGTCTCCTAAAGATTTAGAGCTTTACGAAAACTGGAACAGAACCTTTGGTTGTGGGCGGTAGACGGGACACTTGAAGTTTGAAGAGGGCACGTTGGTAACGTGCCTTTTCCCACTTTGTAGCTTGGGAAACTGGGGGGTTATTCATCGTACTCTCAGTGTGTATTTTGAATTCTACACCTCAAAAAAAATAGAGTAGTAATAGTTGCAATTTTACAGTTGATCGGCTTAGCCCCTGTTAATAGAAGCTTGGGTTTCCCTCCAGTTACTGCCTGATGTGCGAGCCTATTTGTACCAAATATGAATGAACGTGTTTCTTTTGTTCAAAGCGGGTCTTTGTTTTCAAGGTTGACAGTATGATGACTAGTGAGCTCACACCGAAACTAGGTTCTCATTTGTATGTGAGGAGGCATCTGATGGGTGCGCGTCTCCCGCTGAAGAAGGTTCCTTCTGCCAACCACGTGACTCGCGCGTTGGCCAGTGTGGTGGTTTACATTTGAAGCCGCTTCGCTTGGTGTGCAGTGGATTTAAGGTCTCCCCAAACAGCCGAATGAGAGTGCCAGTTTTTTGTTCTTCGTCACTGTGTAACAGTTGCCTCCTGTTACCAGGGCTGCCTGTGGGAGATGCATTCAGCGGTAGCCAGGTGTAATCTGGTATCAGAGACGTGTCCGCAGACTTGAAGGATGAAGAAGATGCATTTTCCCAGGGGGGTAGAATGTGTTTAAGATTAATATTTTATTTGGTAGTACTTCACAGCCTGTAGCATCGGTCTCTCAAAAGTGAACGTCTGCAGGTTTCTATGTGGGACCCTTTTGTAAGTAGTAGACATTCATCGTTGAAATACCAGGGCAGAGAGCTGAATAAGACGAAGAGGAGGAAGATTGCGGTCATCCCAGCCAGCACTTTGGGGAGCACGCCGTTCTTGCAGACATCTTCTGCAGGGTGGGGCTGTACGGTCGCCTCCGTAGCCTGCCTCTCTGTCACTGTCGCTTCCCGTGTGAACGTGCTCTGTTTACAACATCCTCCCTCAGGATCCCATGCTGGATGGACTGTAATTTATCCAGTCCTCTGCTCGGGGACGCTCAGGGCAGGACACGAGCCGGTTTCCCCTTTGTTCATTGTACACCAAAACACGTTGAATGCCTTAGGGATCTTTTTTAAAAACAAATACGCCTCTCCTGAGTAAAATTCTTGCACGTTTTTAAGGCTGTTGGCACATGTCCTGAATTGTCCCCTAGAAAAGTCATGCATATGTGGGATTCCTCTCCACAGGAAGCCACCGTGCCTCCTTACCTGTCCCGTGTGGACATTGGGTCCCCGCAGTTTTTGTTAGTGTTCCGCTCACATCCGTCCGTTCTAACGATGCTGGATGCCAGCCGGTGTTCTGGGTGCTGAGAGCAGAGCGGTGAACAGTAGGCAAAGAGCCTTGGTCTTACGTAGGTGACATTCAAGTTGTAATGTTTTCTCTTGACGGTGCAGTTGAAGACGGAATTTGACAGGTGACTTTAGACCGTTGTTTTCATTTTTGTTCTTGGCTCGCCTTCTATTTCTGTACCCCCTTGAAAGCTTTGTTTTTCCATCTGTGAGTTTTTCCCTTTGAAACATGCCATTACCTTTTATTAGAATTTGGATGTTAAACTGCTCGTCTCTGGTTTTAGGTAAATATTTTTAAGTGTAAAGCATGTCACATTATTAAAATGTAAAGCACGTCTCTGTCTTGTTTCATTTCTGCGTAAACAGCACTACAAGTAACCTGGGATTCCTAGGTGTTGATGTCCAGGAATTTCTGTGGGTTCTTCCCTGAATCCTCTCCCAGATCAACCCTCCCCTTTGGGTTTTACTCTTGCCACAGCTGACTAGGTCATCCGCAGTCGCCCAGGAGGTGTTTGTGTCTTACTGAGCTCTATAGCTTGGTCGTAATGTTGACAGTCATTTTTTTCTTTACAGCCACTCCTGCCAGCCCCCACCTTCAGCAGCCTTGGTCACCAGCCACGGGCCCCTTCTCTTTGTGGAACTGAGCTGGGATTATGTCCAAGACAAAAATCTCTGGGTGGCTCAGCTCGTCTCGACTCAGGCGGAGCCCATGTCTCTCTCTCCAGAGTCAAGCTCTGCTCTGTTCAAGTGAGAATCTAATCCTGAGGGGAAGGAGGCAGGAGGTTCTGAAGCTGGAGAGAAAGTTTGAGCTGGGGAATCCCTGCGTGGTCGTTTCAGGCTTCTGCCTCATGGAAGTATTCTTCCTCTCCTGCCTTCTGGGATTCGGAGTATGCCTTCAGGTAGGAAATTTCCAGAAACTTAGAGATGTCTTTGTATCTCCACGTTATGATTAGATATGAATATCTTCGGCTGAATTCTTCCCTCCTGAGGGTTTTGTTTCTGCTGCAGTGTCTTTAGCTATATTGTTTCATTAGAGAAGTGGACACTCACCCGGGTTTTCACGTCTTTGGAAGATACGTTTCCTTCATGGAAATACACGCACGGTTTTACCAGTGCATGTAACTCATTTGTGCATTCGTGTCTAAACGAGTTGGTAGGAATACAGTGATTAATGGGAATTTTTAATATCAGTCCTTTTAACATGTTGGGGTTGCACATACAATTTCTTTTGTTGTGTGTTCTTCAGGAAATTCTGTTCCAATCTGTGGTCTTCTCTCATTTTGAAATTCGAATTTGTTTTCTCAATTCTAGACTTTTGTCCAGTTGGCCTCCACCCTGACCCTTGATGAGGTTGGAGTCCGGGGAAAGGGCCTGGGCTTTGGAGCCGCGTGGGCCTGCTGCTGGAGTCTGACTCTGGGCCACCTAATTGTTCAGGCTCCCTTCTAACGTGAGGGTGTCTACACCTACCCTGTTGGAGAGTGAGGGTCAAATGGTCCAATACAGGTGGGAAAGACCTGGATTGTGGTTGCTCAACAACGTGGACGTGGTGCGTCCTTCTGTCTGCCCTGACTCTGCCCATGTTGACCTGCAGGGGGCATTTTCTTCTCGGCTGTTTTGCATGCCTGTCTATTCTAGCATGTTCTGCTTCGTGTTTGTGATACTTGTGTTTCATCGTACATACTGTGTCGTCTAAACTTACAGAGTAAATCTAATTAAATAAGTGTCTTTTAGTTTTGTTACTCTTTTGAGACTTCAGAACTTTTACCTAGATCCCAGATTATGATTTTCCACTTATTCATCTTTAAGTCCTGTTTCTTGGCCTCCAGAATTACTCCCCAGTGTTTTTAACTAAAACCCACCTCCAGAGAGCTGATTGGAAGATAGGATTCCGTCCAGGTCTATGGCAAGAGGGCAGGTCAGATAAGGATACTTTTTTTTTTTTTTTTGAGGCTTTGGTTTAAATTTTAAAATTTCGGTTAGTTAAAATGTAGTATATTAGTTTCAGATGTACAGTACAGTGATTCAACTCTTAGGTACATCACCCGGTGCTCGTCACAGCAAGTGCATTATTTTTTTTTTTTTTGAGAGATGCTTATTTTTTTGTTAATGCTTATTTTATTTTTGAGAGAGAAACAGAGCATAAACAGGGGAGGGGCAAGAGAGGGAGACACAGAACCCGAAGCAGGCTCCAGGCTTCGAGCTGTCAGCACAGAGCCCGACGCGGGGCTCAAACTCTCGAACCACAAGTTCATGACCTGAGCCGAAGTCCGATGCTCAACTGGCTGAGCCCCCCCAGGCACCCCAGCAAGTGCTGTCCTTAATCTCCATCACCTATCCCTCCCCCCGACTTCCTGTCTAGTAACCATCAGTGTGCTTTCTAGAGTTTAAGCGTTTGTTTCTTGGTTTGCCTCTCTATCTTAATGACACTTTTAACTTTTTTCATGGATTCCTGGCTTTTGACCTCAAATCTGGAGTTGGTGGTGAGCAAGCCAGTGGAATAGTTGTTTAAAGTCTACCCAGCTGCCTGTCCTTAAATAAAACTTATTTTCCAACATGCAGTTTATAATGGAGAGAGTTTTGGGGCACCTGGGTGGCTCAGGCAGTTAAGTGACTTCCACTCAGGTCATGATCTTGCGGTTTGTGGGTTTCAGCCCCAGCATCGGGCTCTGTGCTGACAGCTTGGAGCCTAGAGCCTGCTCCAGATTCTGTGTCTCCCTCTCTCTCTACTCCTCCCCCCCCCCCCCCCCACTCAAAAATAAACATTAACAAAATTTGTATAATGGAGAGAACTTTGCAATGGGCTTTAGAAAAAGACAAGTGACTGATCTTGGATAGTTTGTAATACGTTCTCAGGCAATTGCTTTCTTAGTCATAAAAGTAAGGATGTCCTATTAGATAATCCCAAAGACACATCCAGATCTGCTCTTCTGTTATCAGTTACCAAATATTTATCAATTAGACAAGTGCTTACAGAGTACCAGGTGTTGGGTACTATGGGAAGTATTGAAAAAAATGTAGTTCTGCAAACTTACCTGTTTACTGTCACTAATTTGGCTCATGATAGAAACTTGCGGGGGGAGTGCATCTGGCTTGCTCAGCTGGTTGAGCATCCGATTCTTGGTTTCGGCTGAGTTCATGATCCCAGGGTCATGAGATCGAGCCCTGAATCCAGCTCTGCGCTGACGGTGTGAAGTCAGCTTGGGATTCTCCCTCTCCCTCTTCCTCTTTCTCCCTCTCTCTCTCTGCCCCACCCCCACTCTCTCTCTCTCAAATAAATAAACTTTAAAAAAAAAATCTTAGAAACTGGGAAGACGTGAAGGCTCTTGAGAGCTTTGGTGACGAGTCAAGTCAGCAAAATGTGCTAGTGAATATATGAATCATTTAAGAGAAGGGGAAATATTTTTCAAATTAGGAATTCGGTGGCATCGGAGGCAGGACGCTGTGGCTAATGAGGCACCGGACCCCGGGTGTTTTGTCCCGGCCCGCTCAGGCGTCTCAGCAACCCGCAAGGTACCTGTGACCACTGGGGCCAGGCCTGAGGAGCCCTTCGAGCTGTCCTGATCTGTTCGGCTCTGAAAGATTGACCTGGGCTAAAATTAGTCTGTGCTTCCTTAGATTTGGCCAGAGCAAGCATCCTGCAGAGCAGAACCCGTGGGCTCTGCTCTCCCCTCCGCCCACGGCCTGGACCTC